CTACGAAGGCAAGTGGTGAGCCAGAAGTGCTGTGACTTAGGAACAACTTGCTGAAAAAAGACTTGATAACCCCAACTGGAATACAGTGGCCCCAGGAGAGGTGACCCTGGCTTGTCTGGTCAAACAGTCCAAGTGCTGGACCCGAGGATCCAGGACACACCTTCGGTTCCAGTTGACTTAAGCTTGAGTAGCAAATTCTTTTCTCCCTCACAGTCCTCTCATCTTCAAAGAGAATTCATTAAGCCCCATAATGCCATCGGCACTTGGCCAGGTGTTGTACTGGCCCATTAGGTGGACACAGGCCACAGCCCCAGGGAGCATGCCAAATGAGGTGCAGGATGGCAGCTGAGACCTGTTGACATCCCCTGAGATTGTTCTGAAGCACTTTCTATAAATCTTCCAGCCGTTTCAAACTATTTGTGTGTGACTCTCAGTGCATGCTGTGTTTTCTCTCTCTCTCTCACCTTGCTTTAAGCTCATTTGATTCCCTTTGCCTGGAATGTTTTCCACTCAATACACTCAATTGCCAGCTCCCGGGCAAGGCCTTCTCTGAAAATCCCCAAGCAGAAATGACCACTCTGTGTCTCTCCATAGCACTTTGTCTCACTGTTAGAGTAACTCTAATAGCACTTGGTCTCACTGTTAGAGTATGCCATATGACCCTAAGCTACAATCATCTGCTTACATGTTTATCTCCCCAAACATATTCTGAATTTCTTGAAGCTGGATTCTCCAGCTTATTAATTTTTTTTCCCCAGCAAGAATTTACCAAGTATTCAGTAAATCTGTGCTAGATTAAATGTAGTAAAGAAAACAACTCATGGTTTTATCTGATTTTCCCTTGTGGTATGATTATTACTAGATCCTGTTTCTCTAGTATTTGTTTTCAATTCTTCTTAAAATGAATTGAGGAAGGATAAATACTTTTAAAAGACTTCTTGTTCTATTGTATGTGGTTTTAAGAAACATGTAATTTTGCTTATTATTTTTAAAAATATGGTCCCTGTACTAAACTGAGATTTCCTGAAAGACCAGGGTAACGTTTTCATTGCACATATAAAAGGGCCAGTATTTCCTTCCAACTAATCTATCCCTCTCAAAATACAAATGCATTATTGAACATTTTGCAAATTTTCTGACTAAAGTTTCAAAGGGGTTTGTGGAATTGATTGATTACAAGTAGTATAGAAAATTTCTTTTTCTTTGGGGAAGAAATTTGTTGAGCTCATTAATTACTTGAGAGAGATTTCTGACAATTACTGATGATATTCTCAGTCTGGATGTCTTTAGAAGGGAGTCACTATGTCTACTAGTCACTATGTCCTACATCAGTGAGCCTTACTCACTGATGTAGGACATTCTTAATGCTGCACCAAGAAGTATGAAGTCCAGACTTTTCCAAGGATACTTCTCTGTCCCTTGAATTATAGATTTAGAATTTACTCTATGGGTAGGATTTTATTTTCCTCATGTTTTTAGAACGCATTTGATAGTAATGCACAACTAGGACGTTCATAACTGGCCTGTGAGTTGAGGAATGGCATACATTATTACAGACACATTTTGCAAAAGAAACTAAGACTCAGAGAAGTGAAGTCACTTACAGAAGGCCACATGGCTGCTGTTTTCTGAGACTAGGCTGAAAAGACCCATTTATTTGCCACTGTTCTAAATTCCATTGATTCCTTTAAAGACTGTTTGAATTGCTGTTTTATTGACTGGCTACTGTGAGCTCTGTTATCTCACGGATAGTAAAACCAGACGGGTGAGTTCTTTCAGAAAGAACGGAGGAGTCCTAACCCAATAGGATTTTGTGAGACCTAGTCTCTGCCTCCATCAGTGGAGGGAAGTCAGATGACTTAGAACTGTCCATTTGGTGGTTTCTATCATTAGCATCTCACTATGCCCGTAAATGATCTGTTGAAGCTTGAAGTGAGGCCTCTCTGTAAAACCTTGAGAGGACTTTAGACTGAAGGACAAAGTGGGAACATCTTAGAAGCTTAGGGCTTTAATAATTGCTTTTGTTCAACAAGCCCAGATCAGAAAAAAGCACAACTTACAGAGAGCCTCTCTGAACCCCAATTTCTATATATATATAAAATGAAGACAATAATGCCATCCCACCTGACCTCAGAGATGGGTGCTTGCATCTCCACAAAGGAAGGGGTTTGCCATTACTCTGAAAACTGAAAGTACTGAATAAAAATCAAGGAGAATCACTTTTCTTCTTATTCTGTCAAAACTATGATTGGTGTTAGTGGAGGGGATTAAACTCAGTCCAGTGTTCTCTGACTGCAAGTGGTTTGGTTCAAAAAATATCATTATGCAAGAGGACACACATCAATGAACTGTAAATAGCCACAGTTCCTGCCTTACCTACATGTCAGGACACTGAAGGGGATTAAGTTAGATGATGTTGTCAGGCATTTAAAAATTATAACAATTGTTAATATTGTGACATAGTCCTTTTCCTCAAAAGTTAAAGGTATCTTTTAATAACCTGAAAGAAATGGACTCAAATGCCTTCTGAAGCTACCTGTATGTGTCATGACCTCAATTGAGGAGCAAAGAGAGCCACTTGGCTGAGAAATAGGGAAGAGGATGGAATGAAACTCATCCACTCAGGTTTTGTTCCTCTTTCCTTCAGGATGCACTTTCTGAGTCAAAGGCTCTGTCTAAAATATCAGCCAGATTCCAACCCCTATAACCCTAACTGGTCCTTGAAGATCTGTCCTTTTCTTGAAAGAGTCCCTCCCTCTGCCACTCCCAATGCACACTTTCTCTTATATCTGGAGAAAAATAGGTACACTTGTATGCTATAAAGAAAAACTCATTCTCAAGAGCCTAAAAATGAAGTGGATAGGTCTCTACTTCAATTTAATTATCTAAAGTAAACACCTGTGTGTGTTTTTATTGCCAAAGAGAAATAGAGGGAGCTTATAATATGGGAATACAATAAGGCTATTAAATTACAAACCAAAAATTAAGGCCATAAATATTGCAAGAAAGCAATACAAGGAATACAAGGAACTTTTCTGAGTAAATACAAGGAACCTTTCTGAGTAAAGGGTGTGAACTGCTTGTATGAAAAATTTGTTGTTGTTATTAACTTTGGAAAAAAATAGTGCTCTAGAACACACAAGAATAAATATGAATTTTAGCAAGGGTTTTATGTCTAATGAAAGAAAGCTATTCTTTTATATTTCCATCTCCTTTGAAACACAGGCTCATGTTGATGCTGATGAAATTTTTTCACCTAGATATTTCAGAATCACCTCAAATTGAATGCATTCCACACTGAACTTGTTAACTTTTTTTTCTGAAATTAGTTCCTCCTCCTTATGTTCATTTTCTCGGTTAGCACATCACACTCACAGGCTGCCCTTGCTAGAAAAATCTAGGTTGTTTAGATTATTCCTCCTCCAACCTCTGGTCTACACCCAATCAATTCCAGATACGTTTCTACTTGTTATTCACCTGAGCTAATGTAATGGTTTCTTTTTTCTTCTTCTTCCTCTTTCTTCTTCTTCTTCTTCTTCTTCTTCTTCTTCTTCTTCTTCTTCTTCTTCTTCTTCTTCTTCTTCTTCTTCTTCTTCTTTTTCTTCATTTTCATCTTCTTCTTCTTTCTTTCTTCTCCTTCTCCTCCTTTGTCTTCATCGTCTTCATCTTTGTCTTTGTCTTCCTTGTCTTCATCTTCATCTCTGTCTTCCTCGTCTTCATCTTTGTCTTTGTCTTCCTTGTCTTCATCTTTGTGTTTGTTGTCCTCTTAATTTCCTCCTCCTCCTCTATTTCCTCCTCCTCCTCCTCCTCTATTTCCTCCTCCTCCTCTTCCTCTTTCTCCTCCTCATCCTCATCCTCATCCTCCTCCTTCTTTTGTTTTGCATTGCCCTCTGGGTATTGAACCCAGAATTCGCTCATGCAAAGTAGGTGCTCTACTACTAACCACATTTCTCACCTGCAATACTTACATTTCTTATTATAACACCTTATATTATGATATTTTATGTGATGTTATGTATGTCAAGTTATAATATAACATTACTATAATAGTATAATAACTTGTTATTGCAACACATTCTCCACACTGCCTCTCAAGAAACTGATGTATAAAAAGAGCATACTTAACCTTTCTGAAAATCTCCACAGGGCATCTTATCATGACCTTCATTTAAAGATCAGACCCCTCACTAGTGAGTCAAATCCTTTAACCTGCTTATTTTTCAGTCTCATTGATTGCCACTCTCCTTACAAATTCTCCAACAGTTACTTGCTACCTCAATGCACATCACTACTCATGCCTCCAAGCTCGGCACAGGCCATTCCTTGTGCTATAGATTCTCTTTTGCATACTTATTGTTCCCCTACTCTGGGAAACTTTTGTGATCACTTTCTAATATCCTTCAGAGTTAGTTTATCCCACATATGAATCTTCATAGATCAGAGTATAATTCAGTTACTATTTACTGTATACTGTTGGAACTATGTGTATAGTTTCAGAAAGCTCCAATATTGGTAACTCCTTAAAAAAAAGAAATGAACTCTCATCTGAGATTTCCAACTCTATACACATGTCAGACAGAATGAATTATGAATAAAATATGTTGACCAAATGGATGGATAAAAGATTAATTAGTTTTATGTGTCTGTGAGATGAATTTGTGAGGCACTAACTAGAGAGACTGGATCCTTCAAAATACAGGAGGGAATGGGAAATAATATGTAGTTCTGCAGTTTGCAGAGGACTTGTTGACTTAATTCTGTATGTCTGACCCAGGAAAACCTGTGTACCTTAACCATCGTTTGTGCAGGTGGATGGGTAGTTGTGGGAGAGGTTATGCATGACCGATAAGTGTGTTTCCACACACAGCCAGGGTTTCCCTTAAGAAATATTATTTTCTAGAAAGTGATGTCTCCTTCCTCTAAAAGTTCTCTTTTTAGAGGAAAGGTCCTTGCTATGCTCCAAATTTTATACCAAATAGGATTTTTATCAAGCACGTCAGAATTAACTGAGGTATTTGTTTAAAATAAAGATTGCCTTGTGCAGGGGCCATGCTAATCTTCTCTGTATTGTTCCAATTTTAGTATACGTGCTGCCGAATCGAGTGATAGCACAGCGGTAGGGCGTTTGCCTGGCACACAGCCAACATGGCTGACCCGAGTTCGATTCCTCCTCCCCTCTCAGAGAGCTCGGCAAGCTACCAAGAGTATCTCGCCTGCATGGCAGAGCCTGGCAAGCTACCCGTGACCTACTCGATATGCCAAACACAGTAACAAGTCTCATGATGGAGACTCTACTGGGTCCGCTCGAGCAAATCGATGAACAACGGGAGGAGTGTGATGTGATGTGACCGAAAGATTGCCTAGGACACCATCCCATCCAACACAGCCACCTTTGTTTCCTGATCGACAGAGTTTGGACTTGATCTTGTTTATAAGCTTCAACAGCCATCGGTATAGAAAGCTTGTGAGCACAAATGTTTTTTGATGCCCATATGTCACCTACTTCTGAGCTAATAACCCCAGGAGCCTCTTTATCATTGGTGGTAAATCTGTGAAGTTTCTAATTGTATCCTTCTATCTAGGACATTGGTTACCAACATCAGTGAGCATTAGAATCAAGAGCTACTCTATGTAAAAATAAAGATTCTCATTTTGAAGTTAGGAATGGACACTGGGACTGTATGTTAAAGCACAAGTTCTGTGTATCAGGAAGTCTTTAAAGATCATTTTAAAAATTTAAGCTTTCAGCTCTTTCCATGGTATACAAGGGCTGTTTTGCATGTACAAATTAGAGCCAATTGTGAGCATTTTTCCCACATTGCAGTGTTTAGTAATGTCACAAGTGTAGCTTGAAATCAGACATGGCACAAGTATTAACACCCATGTAAATCAGCAAATGCTACAATCCATGGTGTTTTTTTTAATCCAGGAGAACATGATGTTGAACATTTATTAGGATACCGCTTCCTAGAGCTAACAGTGATCAGCACAGAGTTCACAGGTTATTATCTGCTGTCACCTAACAGCAGACTGGGTATAACAATTGCTTTAGCAAATAAACAGATTTTTTTATTAAAATAAACAGGCTACTTTGGCATATCTGAATATCTATTAGTAACTGACCCTCCACTTTATTGCTCCAGTGGAAAAAAAGGATTTCATTCTTCTTCCTCAATTGCCCTTGCTTCTGTCTTGATTCCACAAAACAAAATATATGTATGGGACCTTGTATTTTTGAATCTTGTTGTAGGTCTTGTCTTTGCAAGAATTTGGAACCTCTGGATGACCCACAGTAATGCTCTGCTTCTCCTATTGCACAACTCCCAGCTTCTCTGCTGCCCAGTGATGGAATTATTGATTGATCAACATTTCTCAATACGTTTTCAAAATATACTGAAGGTCACAAATTAATGACTCATGGCAGTTACATTTCTTTCTGTCTCAGCTCCTCTGGATTTTATTGAGGAGGTTAGTTAATGGAAACCAGTAGAGAAACTGAGATAAAAATCAACTATGTCCAACCCTGGCAAACAGATCTACTCTCTTAAAAAAAATTGTCTTTGATCTTTTTTTTAGAGCTTGATCTATTGAGTCTCTTTCTCTCTCTTTTTTCATATGCAGTCTCTAGAAGACTGTAAAATGGGAATCCAAAACTTTTGACCCTGAATTGTTTCAGAGTATTAGAAAGGGACTCTGTTGAGGCAAAGGCCTGGGTAGTGGCTGAAGAGAACTTGACTGCTCTAGTAGCCTGTAATTCCACAACAGACCTGTAGAGAGTGAAGACATAAACCAAGGCAGGCTGGTAAAGAAGTATTAACCTCTCTGCTGACAGGCAACAAGAGCTCCCTGTGGGACAATGTTAAGAACACAGAAGTTGAGAGAGTTTCAGATCAGGAGGCAAGGTATCTGGGTAAACTCTCAATTTGACCACGCAAAACTTTTTAATACATGAACAAGTATACCTGTTAAATCATCAGTTTCTTCAGCTGTGAAATATAGATATTGATAAATGCTGCTTTTCAGGGAACTGTGAACTTTGGGATACTCATTATCATATGTGAAAAAATAGGAATAGAGCTTCAGATGGACTAGTTGAAAGTTTTGATAGAAAAGCATCTCAAGGTGTTATCTTTCTCTTCTGATATAAAAATATTTTTCTTACTTTTCAATCCCCCAAATGATATGAGTTGCAAGATTACAGCTTCTAAATCTCTTTTTATAAATAATCAAGGGATTAAAATTTCCTGTACGTCAGTATATTTCAAATCTATTGAAATTACCATTCTAATATAAAAAACAGAATTGTGCATGAAGCTGAAGTCTTTAGGGGTGTCGTATCTCTTTATTCACTGGCATAGCCTTCACCCCACCTCCCTATATATTCACTTTCTACAAGTGGGCATGGGAATCTTTACTCCTGTATTCCTGACCTGGAATCAGCCAGTTAAAAAAGGGAAGTATGTAAAGTGCTTTCTGGCTAAAGAAAGGCAAGCATTTGTTTCAACTTGACTGAAATTGCTTTTTCCTCACCAGTTTGTTTTGTCATCAGGACGTGTCAGAACTTAAAGAAATCCTGGTAATCACTATTTCCAACTCTCCATTGTACAAGAGTAACCTAAAGGTTAGAGCTGAGGAACAATCTCACCAGAGTCACCTCTCCCAAAGAAAGAATCAGCTTTTTAGCACCCATGTTCCGACTTTTATCTCCTCTCTCCACTACATCAGGTTTGGAGAGAACACAGAAAATCTAAAAGAAGCACCAAAGGAAAAATCCTTGTTGAATATCTTGGGCTTCTGTTTTTCAAGGACAGTTTTATGATTAGCAGCGTTGGTGCCTTTAAAGCTACGGTAGCTAGCTTGAATGAACTTATATAATAAACATTTATCACAGAACATGTGTCATCAAACACCTGCTAGATCTGAGCATTGGCACCAAAGCTGCTTTCATTGTCAAAGAAAAAGGGAGGAAAGGAACTTGGCTGAACAAACCTGGCAGACTTTTTACTAGAAAATTCAGAAGTACTTGCTAGAGGAACAGGAACACAATTCTAAAGGTTTTAAAAACATTTCAATGTGATTGGGTAGATTTAGCAGTTAAATAAGTGAAGGGCACTGAGACCCAGCTGATGTCTAAGATCTTTGTAGCACAGGTTTCCTCTGTCTTCCCTGGTCACAGTCTCTTCCCTTGTCTTTTCTGGTCACAGTCTCTTCCTTTGTCCTAGAGGTCTCAAGATGGGTAGGTCTGGAAGTTGTCCAAAGCAATATCTGAGGTTGCTGGTTTCCATTAAACATCCATACAAATACATCCCAAAGCATTTGTGGTTCACACTGGGATCACTTCTCATTAGCATTACCTGGCCATGTCAAAGAAAAAACCAATTTGTCTCTTAAACCTTGGCCGTTCACCTGGAGTGGAATTCTCTGGCCTATTTTGGAGGTTAACCTACATCAACAAAATGGAGCAGTTGCCACATACATGGCCACTTCCCTTCGACTACCCACAACTTTTTGAACTGCAAGATTTGTTCCTCTGTTTACTTATTTACTAGTTATCACTGGGATAGTATTAGACTACAAAACCTGCCACATGTGCAGTATAGCAAACCTCTGAGCCTCAGTTTCTTCACCAGTGATATACTATTCATTAATTACCTTGCTGACCTCACACAGATGTTCAGCACATCAAATGAATGACAGAAGTGCTGTTTATTTTTATTTATTAATATTTTTGGCCTCCTAAGCAGTGCTATTGGAAGCCACGGAGTCAGTCTAAGTGATATGAGGTCACCAAGCTAGACAGTTCAGTGCTAGGGTTTGGCAATGTGATGCCTATCAAGCTGGGGACCATTGAAACTACACTTGGCTGTGCTCAGAGACCCATGTGGTGCTGGACTATTAATTTGGGACCTTATGCATATGTTCTAGGGGCCAGAGTGATAGCACAAAGGGTAGGGCAATTACCTTGCATGCGGCCAACCTGTGTTCGATTCCCAGGATCCCATATGGTCCCCCAAACACTGCCAGAATTAATTCCTGAATGCAGAGCCAGGAGTAACCCCTGTGCATCACCAGGTGTGACCCCCCCCCCCCAAAAAGATGTGTTCCTTACCCCTGAGTTATCTTCTTGTCTCAAGTTCTATTTATATTCTAAATCCAGCCATGAGCATGAAAAATTCTTGTTATGACTTTTTTCCAGCTAGTGTACTTATTACCAGAGGACTTGTCAAAGAAATATGAGACAATACCTACTCTCTTGTAATTTACAATTTTTTTTTGGGAAACCCAATAGAAACTCAAATGAAAGAGATAGGTAATACCTCGAGGCTGTGTTTCCTATTTAAGCTGTAGACAACAATGCCTATAAGAGTGCGAAGAATAGGAGTAGGGTTTTGAGGAGGAAAGAATCCTTAATGGGTTGGAGAAGTTTGGAATGTTTTCGGACAGAGTGAACTTGAGCTCAATGCTGAGGTAGAGAGTGAAGATGGTGATATTAATGAGTTTGGCAGAGCTGAGGTGTTTAGTGGTTGGAGGGTTTTCTTGGTTGACTGGTCTACATGTACTTAAAACTCCCCCTCCAGCTGGAATTATGGATTTAGGAATTTGAAGAGAGTTGGAAATAAGGAAAGTGAGAGCAGATTTTAGAGCAATGAAAGGTTATGATGAGGTAATGACTTGGGAGAATTCATATTTCAATGATTGACTTGTGAGATATCAGCGAGAAGAGTGTTGTGATTAATGACGTGGTTCTGTGTCATCCATTGAAAATAAAAATGTAAAAAATAGGACTGGAGTTATAGGACAGTGGTTAGAATGCTTGTCTTGAATGTGGTCAACCCTGGGTTGATTCTCAACACCCCATATGGTAGCCTGATCACCACCAGGAATAATCCCTGAGTGCAGAGCCAGAAGTAAGCCCAGAGCACTACCAGATGTGCACCCTGCCCCCACAATAGGAATTGAAAGAAAGAAATACAAATAAAAGATAATTCTATTTGTAGGTGAGGGACTAGTCACCTAATGACCCTTCTTCCTCTTTTTGTATTTAAACGGGGATTTGGATTAAATTGAGCAAAAGATACAAAATTTTAGATGAATATTGTAAGATTCTTGAA